CTGGTGGTGCTGGTACTGCTAGTCCCGGGGGTGCTCGTGCTAGTGGCGCTGGAGCTGCCGGAGCTGGTGGTGCTGCCAGTGCTGGAGGTAGTGGAGTTTCTGGAGCTGCTGGAGCTGGTGGTGGTGCTGCTGCTGCTGGAGGTGCTGGGCTACTGGTCCCGGAGGTGCTCGTACTGGAGGCACTGGAGCTGCCGAAGCTGGTGGTACTAGTGCTACTGAAGGAACTGGAGGTGCTGGAGCTGCTGGTGCTGGAGCTGCTGGTCCCGTAGGTGCTCGTACTGGAGGCATTGGAGCGGCCGGGGCTGGTGGTGGTGCTGCTACTCGAGGTACTGGAGGTGCTGGAGCTGCTGATTCCAGAGGTGCTCATGCTGGAGGTACTACAGGTACTGGAGCTGCTGGTCCTGGAGGTGGTTGTGCTGGAGACACTGGAGCTACCGGAGCTGGTGGTAATGCTGGTGCTGGAGGTACTAGAGCTGCTGGAGCTGGTGGTGCTGCTGGTGCTGGAGGTGCTCGAGCTGCTGGAGCTGCTGGTCCCGAAGGTGCTCGTACTGGAGGTACTGGAGCTGCTGGAGCTGGTTGTGCTGCTGGTACTGGTGGTGCTGGAGGTGCTGGAGGTGTTGGGGGCGCTAGAGCTGGCCGTACTAGTGCTGGAGGCACTGTGCCGCGGCGCCTATTTTTCGCTCCACCGTCGCCGTCGTCTCTGCCGCCACCTGGCTCGGTGCTTCACCAGGTTCTTAGTCTCCCATCTTCTACTGGCCTTACTCCTCCCTTTATGTGTCCACCGCCTGACCAGTCGCAGCCACAGTTACAGCCAGACTTCCCGCGGCCTGCTCCTTCTCCTTACACTGAGCAAACAGACTCTCCTACAGAGCGTCGTGAGCCTGAGTCTCGCCCTGCCTCGCCTGTTCGCGCTGGTCGCACTGGCCGTCATGCTCCGCGTCCGTGTCCTCCTCCTGTCCCCGCCACTCACTATATGACACTTCGTCCTTCCTCTATTCCACTGCGACTTCCCCTGCCGTCTCCTCCTGCGTCCTCTCTTCCTCACGGTCCGGACCCTGAGTCTGACTTAGTTCGTGCTGCCAGTCCTACTGTCACGCCTCTCCTGGCCACTGTCGTCTCGGACCCTTCGTTTGAGTCCACTGCTGCGTGTGCCCTAGTCGTTGAGCTTGTTGACTTTGCTACTACGTGTCGTCTCGACTACGCCGCTAGTCTTGTTGCTGAGTCTGAGTCTGTCTGTCCTCCGTCCGTCGGGGGTGAGTGTGCTCTTGGCACGGACGTCCTTGAGGACAGGCAGGAGGACTTTGAGTTTCTTGCAGCTGCTGTACCTCATCTCGTGTCCATGCTGCTTGCATCTGACGGAGACCCGGATGCTATAGACATCCTGACCCCGCGCTCTTACGCAGAGGCGATTACAGGTCCGTACTCTTCTCAGTTACAGACAGTCATGGACGCAGAGATGGCATCCTGGAAGTCCACAGGCACTTACGTCGACGCAGTTCCCCCTCCTGGGGCGAACATAGTCAATGGCATGTGGATTTTCAGGATGAAGCGGCCGCCGAGTTCTCCGCCTGTCTTCAAGGCTCTTTACGTTGCACGGGGCTTTAGTCAGCGAGAAGGAGTTGACTTCTTCCAGACCTTCTCCCCTACCCCGAAGATGACCACTCTTTGGGTGCTGCTGCACGTCGCCGCTCAGCGTGGCTACGAGCTTCACTCTCTTGACTTCAGCACAGCTTTCTTATAGGGCAGCCTGCACGAGGAGATCTGGCTGCGCCGCCCACCTGGCTTCACTGGGTCGTTTCCTGTAGGTACCCAGTGGAGCCTCCGGCGACCAGTCTACGGTCTCTGCCAGGCTCCTCGTGAGTGGCACGACACATTGAGGATGACACTTGCGGCTCTTGGGTTTGCTCCTTCGACTGCAGACCCGTCGCTGTTTCTGCGCAGCGACAGTTCGCTGCCGTCGTTCTACATCCTCGTGTACGTCGACAACTTGGTCTTTGCCACTCCTGACACCGAGGGACTGGCCCTTGTGAAGTTGGAGCTGCACAAGAGACACATGTGCACAGACCTGGGTGAGCTGCGCAACTATCTTGGCTTGCAGATCATCCGGGACAGAGCACGGCGCACCATCACTCTGACTCAGTCACACATGGTGCAGCAGGTCCTTCAGCGCTTCATGACTTGTGTTAGGAGCACAGACTGGAGCGCAGGACGAAGCACATCGCTCTGCGTTACTTCCTTGCTCGAGAGTTGCAGCAGCGTGGTCAGCTTCGTCTTGTTTACGTGGCCACTCGGGCCAACACTGCTGATATATTCACCAAGGCACTTCTGCCTCGTGGTCATCAGCGTTTCTGTACTGTTTTAGGCCTTGTGCCTACTTTGCCTCACTTGTTTACTTCGTGGCTTTGCTTGTATTGTGATCTATATACTTGTATCTGCATGCTTACACCTGCTAGGTTGTGATCACTGTACTGCTTGTTCCCATATCTATAACTCTGCATGTGAACTGGCCTTGTGGCCACTTGCTTGTGCTCAGAGTGTGTGGTGATTTCGTGATCCACCCTGAGCTTGCTTTGCTTTTCTTGACTGGTCTTGTGACCCCTTGTTGTCCCCCACTTTGCCTATGGGGGTGTGTCAAACTATAATGTTGCTTATGTTGTGTAGGCTGTTGTGGGGTAGCCTATATGGGGTGCAACCCAATTAGGGTTAGTACTTGTACTCAGTTTGATGTCAATGCAATCATTCCTGCTCGTTAGTTTCTGACAAGGAAATCATTCCTAACAGACCAATCGGACACGTGACTGCGGCCAACGCACGTACTGCACGGAAGGAATCCTCCGCAATTGCGTGATGAACGGAAATCAATATTTGACAAATTTCGGGGAAAAGCTGGGGGGGGGGGAGGGGGTTATCAAATGTTGGGAGGGCGGGGGGGGGGGGGTTTCAGTATAGAAGGGTAGATTACACTGATAACCTGAGCCCTGCCGGCCATCCTGAAATTCCATGCAAAACATTTGACATTATCCTGAAGTAATAGGGTAAAAATCAACATCATCCTGAAATTACAAGGCAAACGCATGAAAACATCATGAAATCAGGGTAATTAGGACGTTTTACTTTGATATCGTGGGCCCAGGTTTGAACAGTCTCAAAACGTTCAAATGAGTGCTTCAAAGAGTGTGGAAAAAAAGACATCATATTTGAGATGATGTCCCCAAAATGTGAAACCAAATATACAGGGTTGCTATGCAACCCAAAAGGTACCTTCGGATTAACCGAAGTACACTAGCACAAGGTTTAATCTTCTTCATGCACATATCTTTTGTCATTTTAACAGATTGGTATATGTGGTTTCCCCATTTAAAAAAGAACCGATTTCATTTATCGAGTCTTATTGTATCTTCTCACGTGCTACAGTAACACAACCCTTATTGAAGCTGTATTTGGCATATTGCATTTAGTGTTTCAAATTTGTGGAGAAGGATACCAAAGGGTAAGTAGCTTTGGCAGGGGTACTACTAGAAGGGACAAAAGTTTGTTGCGCATAGTTGGTCAAAATGTCCAGTATAGTAAGTGGCATGGAAATCGGTGACACGTGGGTGAATGTGGGGAAGAGTACTGTCCTGTTTCTGTAACTTCCCTGTCTGAGGTACGGAGGGGTAGAAAGTGCCCGCTACTGGGCATGCAGACCCCTTCAAAGCGCAGGGTCGTTAGTAGTACCCCTGCCAAAGCTACCCATCAGGGCTGACGATTCAAGGGCAAATGCCCTTAATGCCCGGGTCCGGCCCAGCTTCCGAATTTTAAGGGTTGGCTTTGAGGGCAGCCCGTCCCCGCAAAGTGCTGGTTGTGGGCCTAACCCGGATTTCAAGTGCAGATCCCGCGGTTAGCCCTTATCGTCCCATACTAATACCTCCCTCCCTCCCATTCCCTCACCAGTCCCCCCACCTCCTCCCAGCCACTCCCCTCTTCCTTTTCCCATCCCCGTCAAATTCATCGACATGTTTCGTACCTCAGCCTATTGCCTAGCTGGCTCTTAGTAGTTTTCCTAGGATAACGGACGGACCCGAAGAGATGAAGGTTTTCCTTAGCGAAAGTGCAAAAAAGTTGGTAGCCCTGATTTCAAGTGCCAGGTTTGCTCTCAGCCCGTAAATTTCAGGGCAACTTTTGGGGCACCTCAGCCTCTCAAGTTCTGGCTCCAAACCAATCGACAGCCCTGCTACCCATAACCAAACGTGCGAAGTGTACGACAGTTTTGAAAGCCGCTGTGAGGCGGATCGCGTCTTGTCAAGAACCTCCCTGTGTCTGTGCAAGTGTGGGTGGGCTTGCACCTGAGCAAGTGTGGTTTGTGTTGCCCCCGCCAGCTTTCCAGCCAGTCACCAGGAGAATTGCACCACCACCACCACCCACAATTGGTCCTCTGTAACGTTTGAAACTTTCGCACTATGCGTGGCACTCTTCGCGCATAATCGCCTAAAGATTCACAGGAGAATTCGCTTTGATTCAAGAGAATCGTCCATGTGGTAATTTAATTTCTGCATGTTGTTTCGTCATCCCCTTCTCGCAAGCTCGGTTTCGCAATCGCAGCCAGCTTCGCTATGCGATTCGAGTTTTACTGACCACCTTTCATCGTTGACTATCACCAGCAAGCAGTCTCAATTGCCCCCAGAAGTATAGACTGTTTCTGAATCAGATTACTATTGCATCACCACAACCAGCTCTTGCATTCGTACTACGGCTTCCCAAAACAGACGAGCTCTCCCAAACCAGCTCAGCCCCTGCCTGAGTCAGGCAGTCGACGCACTCATGCTCACCTAGTACCAACGGTTCATCCATCCCGCAGTCTGCTACTAATACCAATCAGGGCCAATCATTTTCAAGTTGGTCATAGTTGCGGTAATACCAATCAGGGCCAATCACTTTCAAGTTGGTCATAGTAGCGGTAATACCAATCAGGGCTAATCCCACTCACGCCAATGTCTCGCGAGGAGAGAGCGTCCCCGTCAATGCCGACGCTGCTCGTTCTCGTTCTGCTGCTGCTAGGCGCGCAACGGGCCCGCGTTGTTCGGGGGCAGAACGGCGCTTTTCAAATCCGTGGATTGGTATGATGCTTTACCGCCTGGGTTTGCCCGCACCCGCCTGTAATCCACCCGCCTGTAATCTTCCCCATCTTCCGCAACCCTCTCCATACAACTGGCGCTGAATCAGTCCACTCGTCGCGCTCGTTTCTTCTTTGTTCTTAGACTGCGAGCGTTGCACACGGTAACAAATATCTCGCGACCTAGCAGAATGCATCCGCTCCCCTGTGCCAGGTGGACTCGGAGTCCGGCTTCTGAGTCGATTCAGAAGTCATCTTTAACGTCAAAGACACTCGCAACTGGGGAATGCACTTGCTCCCCTGCCCTCCCTCCCCCCCCTCTCCCTTCTCCGTGTGTAACCGCACCAGGTGGACGAGAGTCCGGGTCGCATGCTGGAGCGGCATCAGTACGAGCAGGAGGAGGCGGCCGTGCTACAGTCGGCATCCTCGTTACAAACAGGCCGCGAAATTCGGCGAGAAGAGCATCATGAGCAGAGGTGCGCCAACGCGCATGGTCTTTCGTTTGCACAGTGAAATCCCTGACCACCCTATTTCTTCTCACCGTGTTCCCGCTCGTCCATCCCAAACATGCATGGTCGTATAAACATACTTTGAACATTGAACCCAGGTTGTACATACGCACTCGCACTTCACATCCGAAGGGTGTGTTCAAACATATTTTACAACATTGGGGTTACTTCGTCCTGGGGGTCGAAGTTGCGACAATGTTGGGACACCTCACCTAGTCTTCGCGCGAAGGGAGTATTCAGATTCTGTGTGCATACTGTAGACTCTGACCCTTGGGACGCGCTCTGTACAAGGTACAGACAATGTGTCTATGACCAATCTTGACTTGAGTCAAGTCAAGCTCAAGCACAAGCGCATTCTTTCCGCCAGCATCCAGGCTATGGCTCGTCGTCCGACTTTCCAATCGTGTCCGTTCCGGAAGCTCGTTTCACACTGCCTCTCGCTGCTCATGCTGAGTTTTTTCGGTCGCGCGCGTCGTTTCCTCTCCCTGTTCCGCCCCCCTCCCCTCCCCGCGCCGTTTCCCCTCTGCTCCCCCGCTTGCGCTGGCAGAGTGTTCGAGGCGGGGCAGGGCTCGTGCGGCTTCCCCGACACGCGCGCGGATGCGGACGAGTGCATGGCGGACCTGGCGAAGTTCCCCGCGCTGAGCGCGCGCAGTGGTTCCGTCAGCGCGCGGAAGCTGGCGTGTCTGGCGCACAACTACCTGCGCCCGTGGATGGGCATTCCGGGCGTCACCGCGGGCATGGGCGCGCGGGGCATGATCAATCCCGCGATGCTGCAGCAAATGGGCACGATGGCGAACGTGAATACCGTTCCCCCATACATTCCCTCCCGCGCACAGTCCCCCCCGCGCTCCTCCCCTTCCCCCGCTCTCCCGCACAGATTCTCCCCCGCTCCTGTCCCACACATCCCCACATCCCCTTCCCCTTTCCCCGCTTTCCCTCCTCCCCCCTTTTTTGACCCCCACGGCATCCTCACGGTTTTTCCGAATTCCCCTTCTCTCCACGTAATTCGTTTTCCTCTCTGGTTCCACTCTTGCCGCCTCTGGTTTCACCGCTGCCCCCCACTACACCCCTTCATCTCCTTCCCACACCCCTACCCTACCTTCCCAATTTTACACCTCGTGTCTGCATCATCACGTTCCCCTTCCCGCCGTTCATCCCGACTTTCCGCCGTTGTGCTAATGGCTGCGTGCAGGTGCTGTCGTGCGCGGGGCACGTGCGCATCGTTCGCGGGAAGATATTCTTCAGATTCGGCAACTTCGAGTTCGACTGGTACCGCCTCAGGCGATTCGTCTTCTCCGTGAAACTAATCCAGGTCAGCAGGTTGACAATAGCGAGATGCAGTATATTCTATAGCGGGGAGATTTCAGTATGCCAAGGAGACAGTGCTGTTATGCAGACACTATCTGGATTCAAACCTAGACACGTCACCTCATATCCATTCAGCCAACCGAAACCTATCTCCTGATCTCCCAAAACTCAATCCCTGAAACCCGTTTCTCATTCCCGTTATGCAAAGCAGGATGCGATACGCGAGTACAAGCTACACAACCTGAACGCGGAATTCTTCCTTAATACATGCGACATGTACATTAGCAAAGCCAGCAGTGTTGCGAAGCCACTAGCTGGGCTTCCCATTTTCAGCGTGCATGGCGCGCCGGGCAGCATCGACATTCTTTATCCTGACCCAGTCGACCTCAGCAGCAACTATTTCCGGGAAGCGGAAAATGAGGTGGGCCCCGGCGGATTTGTGACGGCACATGCCATTCAAAAAAGAGACAGGAAAAGTAGGAGGGCAGGAGAAAGGGCAGGCGTCCCAAAGAAACTACGGCAGTAATTTCATTTGGTTCCTATTGGTGCATCTCTCATATCCCTCTGCAGCTGTCCTTCACACTCCTCCACTCCTTTCCTCTTAATCATCGTTCAATGTCATGGTGTACTTAAAACACCTTGTGCAATGAATTTCGTGTCACTGCATTCTCGTTTGCAGACCCCGTGGGAGCAGAAGGAGAGTCGAGCTGTGTTCCGAGGCGGCATGACCAATTACAAGGTCATCTACCCCAAGCACTGGCGTGGCAGCCCTCGATTCCGCGTGCACAGGTACGGTTGCATTGTGTGGCGTGGGTTCCACACATAACATCACATGCATCACATGACATCACATGACATGCACCTCATGGCACCACACCACATTGCACCACATGGCACCACACCACATTGCATCACATGGCACAGTGTTTTGCATTCACCATGATTGCACTCACTTCACTCTCAACCCCACTTTACACTCTCCCCTGTCTGTTCCACCATTCGCGATTCCCTTTCGCTCCTCCCCATACCAGGATGTCGGACGTTCGGCCGGACCTGCTGGATGCCAGGGTAGTGGGAGGAGTGGACCCTGAATACCGTGCAGGGTGAGTGATGAAACCCTACCACTCCTGCGTAACTGCCTCTAGTTTCACCTTCCAATAATCCTAACTCTAAACAATTTGGACTGAGTTCAAACAAGTAGCCACCAATGGGTCACAGTTGCTTCCCATCAGAGAACTTTTGAGTCGACTCAAAATCTACAAGTAAGACTGAAATGCAATAGTAGCACATGCCATGTCATCCCCATACCCCATGAGTCACAGTTTTTTCTCATGGGCGTGTGCCAGCTGGCCAGGCACGTCTTGCTGTCTAGCAGGCTGGCACACATTCAAGAACATTGATGCAAGGTTTCCCGCAGTATCATCCACCTCTCCAGGATCCCTTCCCTCACTTCCCCATCTCCTCCCCTCACTTCCCCATCTCCTCCCCTCTCTTCCCCATCTCCTCCCCTCACCGCCCCCCAGTCCTAACTCATCGTCGACTGTCTCTCCTTGCTGTTTTTCACCCCACTCTCTTCCCACCTCCGGCTGGGACCGTCCAACCTGCAACAATACAAGTACAAGCTTGACCAGACAGCAGCATCTGCATGTGCGGTGATACCAGTGGTCCTCCTCTCTCCTACCCATCACCTCCTCTTCCCCTCCCCCCACCAATCTTTTCCACCCACCTCCTTCCTTTCTCCCCAGCATCATTTCCCCCTGCAGTCTCCGGCAAGATGCCATCGCATTCGGCAAGCGCCTGGGCCCAGCAGAACTGCAGAGCTACAAGTATCAACTGGACGTGGACGGAGGGACGGGCAGCAGGCGTGTGTGTGGCGTGCTGTCGAGCAGTCAGATGCTGATCAAGCAGGCCAGCGAGCACACCCAGTTATTCGACCCTCATTCCATTCCACCCCTCCATCCTTCTCTCGCCCCTTTCCTCTCGCTTTCCCTCCCCTCTCCTCACCCCTTGCCTCCCTGCAGACTCCGCCAAGACTCCATTTCATTTGGTAAACGCCTGGGCCCAGCAGACCTGCAGAGCTACAAGTATGAACTGGACGTGGACGGTGGCACAGGCAGCGGGCGCATGTGCGGCGTGCTGTCGAGCAGTCAGATGCTGATCAAGCAGGCGAGCGAGTACACGCAGTTCTTCGACCCACTCATGTGCCCGTACCGGCACTTCCTGCCCACGCACCGGTTCTTCTCCGACCTGTTCGGGCAGATTGAGTGGGCGAGGCAGAATGATGGCGAGGCGAGGAGGATTGTTCGGCAAGCGAATGAGCTTGCAAGGTGGGTGTTGCTGTCTTGCACGAATGCACATGCACATGCACTTGCACAAGCATACTCACACATGCACATTCACATGCCCTTTCACAAGCTCACTCATGCATACACATTCACATGCCCTTGCACAACCATACGCACACATACACATTCACATGCTCTAGCACAAGCATACTCGCACATGCGCATTCATTCACGTGCCCGTGTACAGGCATAGTCACACATACACATTCACATGCCCTAGCACAAGCATACTCGCACATGCGCATTCATTCACGTGCCCGTGTACAGGCATAGTCACACATACACATTCACATGCCCTAGCACAAGCATACTCACGTGCACATTCACATGCCCTAGCACAAGCATACTCACGTGCACATTCGCATGCCCTAGCACAAGCATACTCACGTGCACATTCGCATGCCCTAGCACAAGCATACTCACGTGCACATTCACATGCCCTAGCACAAGCATACTCACGTGCACATTCACATGCCCTAGCACAAGCATACTCACGTGCACATTCACATGCCCGAGCACAAGCATACTCACGTGCACATTCACATGCCCTAGCACAAGCATACTCACGTGCACATTCACATGCCCTAGCACAAGCCTACTCACGTGCACATTCACACGCCCTAGCACAAACATACTCACGTGCACATTCACACGCCCTAGCACAAGCCTACTCTCACATCCACATTCATTTGCCCTAGCACGTGCCTCTGTACAAGCATACTCACATGCACAGTACACACTCTAGCACAAGCATACTCACACATGCACGTTCCCATGCCCTTGCACAAGCACACACACAAACACCCATGTACAATCACACACACACACACGCACGCACACACACACACACGCACGCATGCACGCACGCACACACACACACACACACACACACAAACACATACACACACACAAATCCTTGGTGCTTCCCTACAAACTATCTCATTTTTCACTTCCCTCCCTCCCCATTTCCCAACCCCCAATACAGTGACGTATGCACATTTGACGGCCGGCGACTCTATTGGGCCATCCTTCTAGCCAAGTACTCCGTATCTGCACTAGAGGACAACCGCAACATCACGCAACCACCACTGTTCACATGCACTGCGCCGCCCACCCAAGGAGATGTGGATGGCCCAAAGAGCCAGACGAGGAAGCCGCCCCCCAGATGGCCGCCCAGATGTGACGGTGTGGATGCGAAGAGCCAGCCACCTTGTACTCACTACTGCATAGGGCTTCTGGAGGACGAGAGCAAGTGGAAGTGGTTAAGTGTAGATGCGCTTGATGGTATTGAGGTGTACAAACCTCGCAACAAGCACATCAAGTTCCAGGATATGTGAGCTAGCGGGGAAGTCAGGCGCATAGAGATTATATGCTGCTGAATAACCATGTGGTGTACGAGTAGCACTAAACTAAATTTAAATGTCACAAATCATCAGCAATTTCAACAAGGCTAACTTTATTGAAGCACATACAAACTCGAATATATTCACATCCACTAGTAGAGGCGTGGCAAGAATGTACGTAGGCATCCGCATTTGGTTGTTACAGCCGCAATAGCATACATTTTACCCTGTTGGTTTATGTTAGCTCATGTTCTTCCCAATAGAGTGTGGGGTCTGTAATTTATCATGCAGCCGAAGACGCGGAGCAGATGCGTGTCATTTGTTCTACCCATCCAAGCCTTGTGCGGAGAGGTGGTGTTCAGAAGGTATGTTGTGTAGTCTCGCAGTGTGGTTCATTGCGCCAGAACCTTGTTGGAATCCCAGACTCCGCATCCTTCTCGCACGGCTCTTGTTTGTCCTTTTCTGCTACTCCTTTTGTTCGTGTGCGTAGGGTAGGGAGGCCAGGTGCTCCACCCTTTTCGTACTGAAGGAATCTTTGGACTCCTTGGTGAAGTACCCCATTCCTCCGTCGGTCTGGAGGCAAGATTGGCGTTCTGCCCCAATAATTCAGAGTTACAAATCGATGTAGACGGCCCAGACGAAACGAGTGCTGGCGTCGATGAAGGTAATTGTGTAGCCTTTCTTGTCATGTCCAGGTTTGCTAAGAACCATGCAGTCGCTGTTGACCTTGTTGGGTAGAAGAAGAGCGTGCGAGTCAAATACTCCGGGTTCGCCTTTCTTGGGTACTCGCAATGGCAGGATGGGGATGATGATGCACAACTTGCCATCCTTCGACACCTCCCGCAGACTGAGTGGGAGTTCTTCACTTAGGTGAAGATGGCGTAGGAGCTGCTCGCTATTCCATTCCTTCCATTTCTACGTGTGGCCGACTCATTCCTAAACTCCCTTCGTTCAGCATTGCTGCTGACCTGATTACGCATCTGCACACGCTAGACACCACCTTTCGCATTGCTTGCATTACTGAGTAAAACACAGAAGGGCCACCTCCCATGTATATGACGCTGTTCCTCCTAACAACTTGCCTCCCTGACCGCTTTGTGACTGCATGCGATGCCTTCCTTGTTGTGCACTCTTGGACCCTCACTATTGACCTCTTTGAGACTCCTCTCGAAGAGATCGAGTCCATTCTCTGTGCCGTCGTTGCCTCCTCTTGTACTGCCCCCCCCCCCCTTTTTTTGATGGGTGTGCCCCGTCCCTTCTCACTAGCCCTACAGCCTTGGCGTCCCATTGCTGAGCCTGCCCCTTCTATTGGGTTGCAGTAGTTATTGCCTTCGGTAAGGGTTGCAAGGGTGGTAAGATGGGGGAAGTGAATGGAGGTGGGAAAGGTGGCGGAGGTACTGGGACGTCTGGAGGTACTGACGTTGGAAGCAGTGCAGGGTCTGGTAGTGCGGCTTGACGAATTTTGTCCCTGGCGGTGTCGTGGTCCTGCAGTAGCAGCAGGAGCTTGGTGGCTGCACACCCCTCGTTCTCTAGGCCTGCACACCCCTCATTCTAGAGGATAGGTAGTTTGAGTAGAAGTGACGCCCTAGAGGACAAGCAGTTGAGCTGGACTTCCTTGCGGCCGCAACTCCTTACCCTAAACCGTGCTCTACAAAGTGGGGGCAACCATCTGCACGTGGCAGGAGAAGGTCCTATTCCGCGTGTAGTATTGTGACCCAGAGAGTCCGGTGGGCACGCTCCAGGTGAGGTTCGTCAAGCAAGAACCGAAGGAAGCCTACCGAGCCGAGAAAGCTGACCTCACCAGGCAGCTGGATGACTGGACCTGGGAGCAATACGCAGAGGTATACGATCGCCGAGTGATGAGGAGAGAAGGGGGCACGGAGTCTCCGAAATGAAGGAGAGAGTGAGCCGCACGTGGACACTATAAGGAGGCTTAACGATCATAGAGAAGGACCCTTTCATGAGACACGTAGCCAGGGGGCATGCCCTGGACCTGCTCAGACACTACCCGCAGCAGCTGATGATCATGGCGATACCGGAGGAAGAGACCCCCATCGTGGACAACGTACGTAATATCACTGAAGCACAACTGCAGGCATGGGGCAAGATAGAATTGGTGGTAGCCGGCAGGGAATGCCAAAGTTACTCCAGGGCCAGCGAAGGCAGAGGAATGCAGGACAGCCGAGGGGCGACCTTACAGGACCTAAAGAGGGTACTGCAGACGATACAAGCAAAGTAAGGAGAGCTGCTATACATCCTCGAAAACGTTGACATGGGAGACGATCGGAGGGAGCTAGTGAACGAGGCGTTCAAGGAGATTCAGGAGGTACTGGGGAGAGGGACGGTGGTAGATGGGGTGCACTTGGTGTTATAGTCACAGTAGGCTCCAATGTGCCTAAAACGAAATATAGAGTGCACAGTCGGATTTCTGCACAGCGGCTTTAAACATTCATAGCGTTCTGGTCACAGCTTCAAATGACCTGATTCAACTTGGATCTGGACCGTCTTAACGTCGCCTACAATTGGCAATTTAGATCGCACGATTTTACCCAGTGTTGACGATACAGCGTCGGTTTGAACGAACGGCACTATGGCAGCCACTATAGTCTTAGAACGCACAATAGGAAGAGTTACGAGTTGGGAATGACTCCCAGCTCCTACAAACCCCAAGAGCCGAGGTACAGTGATGTGGAACAGTGCCACACTGTCCCCAACCAAGAAGGGTCTCGAAACTACCCTCCACAAGGGTCTACACCAACATAAATGTTACACTACACATTGTAATGTAACCATCTTCAACATCTTGAAGTGTACCCTTTTGGCAAGCTTCGAAATCACTTGAGGCTTGACACCGAGGCTCGGGTTCTTCATCACAAACTCATCCTTGAGTTCTTGATGGGTCTGCTGCACACACCTGCGACACGCCGAACGTTCCACACACACGACAAAATAGAAACCGTGCACGAGACACACAACAAAATAGCGCACAGGACACAAACGACCACGTGACACGCGACTAGCGATAACTCGCTATTGAGTCGACTCACACACTCGACATCATGACTCAACATTCACACAATATTATAAGCATGAAATATATATTATTCCATGCCCTCATACCATGCACACACGCATGCACGCACACGGGCAACAAGCCGAGTGCAAACCGTAGGGTTGCACCAACAAACTCCCCCTCGGATTGTTGGCCTTAGGATCTGTTGCTCTCAGTTCAGAGCCATTCCAGCCAGCTTGCAACACTTCCAATGCTGCTGCTGCACCAGCCTCTTGGTCATCATGTCAGCCGGCTGCCCCGTAGTCTTCACGTAGCACAACTCAACTTCACCCGCGGCCACCATGCTCCTCGTCCAATGCCACTTCACCCTCATGTGCTTGGTGAGGCCGTGCGACACATGGTTCTTAGCAAGAGCAATGGCACCCTGGCTGTCACAGTACAGTGGGGTAGGTCCTTGCTGCTCCTCCCCCAATTCAGCCAACAAACGCCGCTGCCACACAATCTCCCGTACGGCACGGAAGAGTGCCATGTACTCGAATCCACCGAGCTCAATGCTTGATCAACCTACTTCTTGCTCTCCCAAGCAGTTGGGCCTCCACCAACACAGCAAATGAAGCCTCCCACACTTGTCATGTCCTCTGGTTCTGATGCATATGAAGCATCCGAGTAGGCGGTGAGGAACAAACGCCCGGGTTCAACACCATCCGCGCCCTTTTGGCGCCTTTGCGCCGCCGCCGAGTATTGCAGCCCAACGGTCGGTGTTTGGCCAAGGTACTTGGCCACCCTCATTACAGCTGCTAATTGCTCCCCATCAGGGCATTGCACAACCCTCGCCAGCTGCCCGCTAGCAAAGGCCACGTCTGGCCGAGTGTTTATCGCCGCATACATGAGGCTGCCCACCAACGAGTGAAAACGGCGCCTCTCCTCTTCACCAACGCTCTCCTCCTCTGGTCCCTTCACACACTTGAACCCAGAGGGAAAGGGAGTAGCCACATGGCCTTCACTCTGCCCAAAGTTGGCAGCCAAGGCCTCCAGGTACTTCCGTTGTTGCACCCGCATGCACCGCTTCTCCACATCACGCTCGATGTGGAGCCCGAGGTAAAAGTTCACGTCCCCAAGGGACTTGCACTTGAACTTGTCTTGAAGCTTCAGCATCACCTCCTTCACAAGGTCAGAGGAGGGTGAGAAGATCAGGATGTCATCCACGTAGACCACCATGAAGCTCCTCTGCTCCCCCTTGCCAAGCATGAACAAGGAGTGATCGGCCGTTGAGGGAGTGAAGCCGATCTCCTCCAACACTTCGCGCAGCTTCATGTACCATTGCCTAGGGGACTGCTTCAGCCCATAGAGGGCCTTCTTCAGCTTCCACACTCTGCCACTACCATCATCAAACCTCTCTGGCTGCGCCATAAAAATCTCCTCCTCAAGGATGCCATTAAGGAATGCCGTTACGATGTCCATCTGCTTCACCACCCATCCTTTGATGGCGGCTCCCGCGAATAGGGTTCGCAGCATCGTCGGCTTCACCGCAGGGGCAAACAACTCCTTGAAGTCCACCCTCTCCTTCTGTTGGTGCCCCTTGGCTACAAGCCTAGACTTGTAGCGCTCGATCTTGCCGTCGGCGTCCGACTTGATCTTGAAGAGCCACTTGGACGTTATCGACATACGTCCCTCCGGTAGCTCCACCAATTCAAACGTGTCGTTCTCCTCGATGCTCTTCAGCTCACTCTCCATTGCTTTCTTCCACTCCTCAGAATCACTACTCTCCAAAGCCTCCTTGAGAGTTGCTGGTTCTCCCGGCATCTCCACCGGAGAGAAGAAGGCGAAGGCACACTCCTCGTAGTCACTCTCCTCGTCGTCTCTGACCATCATTGCCGCTCCGGCCAGGGCCGTCTTGCCCGGCTTCCCCAGCGCATCATAGGTCAGCCTGTTAGGGGGTTGAACTCTCCTCTTCCTTCTTCCTTCCTCCTTGGCTGCAGGG